ACACGCGCTCTCATAAGGAGGACCTCCTTGGGGGGGGGGGGGGGCTATGTTAAAGTAGGAACTTAGGATGATAGGAGGTTTGGAGCTAAGGGGGAGCATGGCGATGGTATCGAGAGGGTTGAGAAGGAGATTGGCCAAAGAGGAGGTTTCAATAATAGAGGGCATACAAGATATAGGCAAGGAAATAGGCAAATGGTACACCACCAACAAGGTTAAATGTAATAACTACACTACAGCTGTAGCTACAGGCAGTTATATCACGACACACCCCCTAACTGCCTGCAGCACACAGCTAGAGCAAGTCACACCCCCTGAAGGGGTACACCAAGCAGAGTACGCAGCGGAAGGAGGAGGGGACAAGCGAGGAGGAGGAGAGAGAGAGAGAGAGAGAGAGAGGGAGAGGGAGGGAGAGAGAGAGAGAGAGAGGAGGAGGTGGGCGGCGGCTGAAGCTGCTAGCCCACGGGCTACTGGAGCACTGGCTCGCGGGCACAGGGGTAACTGGCTCGTACGCCTGGAGCATCCCGCTCGTACGGCTAGAGCAACTGACCCAACAGGCGACTGGAGCAACGGGCTCACTGGCGACTGGGACTGCAGACTTCACGACGGCCACCACCCTCCAACCTCTCTAACCTCCCTCTCACAACGGCGTAGACGGCTGGAGGAGCAAACAAACGGAGGAGGAGGCGGCTGGAAAACGGAGAGGAGGGAAGAGACTGGAGGAGAGGAGAGGAGAGGTGGCTGGAGGAGAGGAGAGGAGTAGAGGAGAGGAGAGAGGAGGAGGATAGGAAGTGCAGCGGAAGGAGGAGGAGAAGGGGAGGCGGCTGCCTTCAAATACCCGCCACCCCCACACCCTCTTCCCCCCCCCCCCCAAACGCGGCACGCACTGGAGATGCACGGGCAGCGATGAGGAGGAGTAGTAGGGACGGGCGGGAGGATTCAAGGGGGCTTAAGCACCCCCGTAGCCGCGGGCGCGAGCCCCGCCACCTCCCCCCCGCAATGTCCACCGTAGAAAAGAGAGGCGGCAGGTGCGGAAGCGGGGAGCGGGGTGGCGATGGCGGGGGTGCTGACGGCCGTTGCTGGCGCTGGCGCTCGCGTCCGGGGCTGGCGCATGTCGCTGGCGCTGGCGCAGGTGACCGGCGCAGGCGCTGGCGCTGACGATTGCGACAGTCGCTGGCGCTGGCGCACGGCGCTGGCGATCGCGCAGGCGTCCGCGACGGTTGGAGGCGCTGGCGCTGGCGTCCGCGACCAGCGGCGGGGCAGCGCGCGGGACTGGGCGACGAGCGCGTGGGGCGGGTAGCGCGGTGCGAGCAGCGCGGGGCAGGCAACAGACGAGCGCCGCGAAGGGCGCTGCGATGGTCGCCATGGCAGCAGCCATGGCGAATGAAAAATAATGAGGAGGTCCTTAGAAGGACCCAGCTCTTAATACCATGTTAAAGTAGGAACTTAGGATGATAGGAGGTTTGGAGCTAAGGGGGAGCATGGCGATGGTATCGAGAGTGTTGAGAAGGAGATTGGCCAAAGAGGAGGTTTCAATAATAGAGGGCATACAAGATATAGGCAAGGAAATAGGCAAATGGTACACCACCAACAAGGTTAAATGTAATAACTACACTACAGCTGTAGCTACAGGCAGTTATATCACGACACATCCCCTAATTGCCTGCAGCACACAGCTAGAGCAAGTCACACCCCCTAAAGGGGTACACCAAGCAGAGTACGCAGCGGAAGGAGGAGGGGACAAGCGAGGAGGAGGAGAGAGAGAGAGAGAGAGAGGGAGAGGGAGGGAGAGAGAGAGAGAGAGGAGGAGGTGGGCGGCGGCTGAAGCTGCTAGCCCACGGGCTACTGGAGCACTGGCTCGCGGGCACAGGGGTAACTGGCTCGTACGCCTGGAGCATCCCGCTCGTACGGCTAGAGCAACTGACCCAACAGGCGACTGGAGCAACGGGCTCACTGGCGACTGGGACTGCAGGCTTCACGACGGCCACCACCCTCCAACCTCTCTAACCTCCCTCTCACAACGGTGTAGACGGCTGGAGGAGCAAACAAACGGAGGAGGAGGCGGCTGGAAAACGGAGAGGAGGGAAGAGACTGGAGGAGAGGAGAGGAGAGGTGGCTGGAGGAGAGGAGAGGAGTAGAGGAGAGGAGAGAGGAGGAGGATAGGAAGTGCAGCGGAAGGAGGAGGAGAAGGGGAGGCGGCTGCCTTCAAATACCCGCCACCCCCACACCCTCTTCCCCCCCCCCCCCAAACGCGGCACGCACTGGAGATGCACGGGCAGCGATGAGGAGGAGTAGTAGGGAGGGGCGGGAGGGTTCAAGGGGGCTTAAGCACCCCCGTAGCCGCGGGCGCGAGCCCCGCCACCTCCCCCCCGCAATGTCCACCGTAGAAAAGAGAGGCGGCAGGTGCGGAAGCGGGGAGCGGGGTGGCGATGGCGGGGGTGCTGACGGCCGCTGCTGGCGCTGGCGCTCGCGTCCGGGGCTGGCGCATGTCGCTGGCGCTGGCGCAGGTGACCGGCGCAGGCGCTGGCGCTGACGATTGCGACAGTCGCTGGCGCTGGCGCACGGCGCTGGCGATCGTGCAGGCGTCCGCGACGGTTGGAGGCGCTGGCGCTGGCGTCCGCGACCAGCGGCGGGGCGACGCGTCAGCGCGCGGGACTGGGCGACGAGCGCGTGGGGCGGGTAGCGCGGTGCGAGCAGCGCGGGGCAGGCAACAGACGAGCGCCGCGAAGGGCGCTGCGATGGTCGCCATGGCAGCAGCCATGGCGAATGAAAAATAATGAGGAGGTCCTTAGAAGGACCCAGCTCTTAATACCATGTTAAAGTAGGAACTTAGGATGATAGGAGGTTTGGAGCTAAGGGGGAGCATGGCGATGGTATCGAGAGGGTTGAGAAGGAGATTGGCCAAAGAGGAGGTTTCAATAATAGAGGGCATACAAGATATAGGCAAGGAAATAGGCAAATGGTACACCACCAACAAGGTTAAATGTAATAACTACACTACAGCTGTAGCTACAGGCAGTTATATCACGACACACCCCCTAACTGCCTGCAGCACACAGCTAGAGCAAGTCACACCCCCTGAAGGGGTACACCAAGCAGAGTACGCAGCGGAAGGAGGAGGGGACAAGCGAGGAGGAGGAGAGAGAGAGAGAGAGAGAGAGGGAGAGGGAGGGAGAGAGAGAGAGAGAGAGGAGGAGGTGGGCGGCGGCTGAAGCTGCTAGCCCACGGGCTACTGGAGCACTGGCTCGCGGGCACAGGGGTAACTGGCTCGTACGCCTGGAGCATCCCGCTCGTACGGCTAGAGCAACTGACCCAACAGGCGACTGGAGCAACGGGCTCACTGGCGACTGGGACTGCAGACTTCACGACGGCCACCACCCTCCAACCTCTCTAACCTCCCTCTCACAACGGCGTAGACGGCTGGAGGAGCAAACAAACGGAGGAGGAGGCGGCTGGAAAACGGAGAGGAGGGAAGAGACTGGAGGAGAGGAGAGGAGAGGTGGCTGGAGGAGAGGAGAGGAGTAGAGGAGAGGAGAGAGGAGGAGGATAGGAAGTGCAGCGGAAGGAGGAGGAGAAGGGGAGGCGGCTGCCTTCAAATACCCGCCACCCCCACACCCTCTTCCCCCCCCCCCCCCAAACGCGGCACGCACTGGAGATGCACGGGCAGCGATGAGGAGGAGTAGTAGGGACGGGCGGGAGGGTTCAAGGGGGCTTAAGCACCCCCGTAGCCGCGGGCGCGAGCCCCGCCACCTCCCCCCCGCAATGTCCACCGTAGAAAAGAGAGGCGGCAGGTGCGGAAGCGGGGAGCGGGGTGGCGATGGCGGGGGTGCTGACGGCCGCTGCTGGCGCTGGCGCTCGCGTCCGGGGCTGGCGCATGTCGCTGGCGCTGGCGCAGGTGACCGGCGCAGGCGCTGGCGCTGACGATTGCGACAGTCGCTGGCGCTGGCGCACGGCGCTGGCGATCGCGCAGGCGTCCGCGACGGTTGGAGGCGCTGGCGCTGGCGTCCGCGACCAGCGGCGGGGCGACGCGTCAGCGCGCGGGACTGGGCGACGAGCGCGTGGGGCGGGTAGCGCGGTGCGAGTAGCGCGGGGCAGGCAACGGACGAGCGCCGCGAAGGGCGCTGCGATGGTCACCATGGCAGCAGCCATGTCGAATGAAAAATAATGAGGAGGTCCTTAGAAGGACCCAGCTCTTAATACCATGTTAAAGTAGGAACTTAGGATGATAGGAGGTTTGGAGCTAAGGGGGAGCATGGCGATGGTATCGAGAGGGTTGAGAAGGAGATTTGCCAAAGAGGAGGTTTCAATAATAGAGGGCATACAAGATATAGGCAAGGAAATAGGCAAATGGTACACCACCAACAAGGTTAAATGTAATAACTACACTACAGCTGTAGCTACAGGCAATTATATCACGACAGGGTAGTGTAAGGAAAATTCCTTTTCCTTACTCCGCGCCCCTGCTTACCGCGTACAAGACCATTCCTGCCATCGGCACCCAAACAGTGAAACGTTACCCGCTCGCGACACTCGCCTCGACTACGACTCCCGCCACCGTTCACGATGCGACCCAACCTCACGGTTCGGTTGGTAACCCGCGCTCCGGACCTCCGCCTCGACATTTCCCAACCTCGGCGCTAGGCCCGTAGCGCACCCCATTATCTCGCGTTACCGTTACCACTCTAGTTCGCTATATATTCTTCGCGCATGCCTTCGCTCGATGTATTGTTTTGCTTCGATAGTGCAATTCTCGCTCGCTCGCTCAATTGCACTCGTAACAAAATGCCAGTGTTCCGTAAGTGGAGACCAATATGAGCTGCTTTCACAACTTTATTCATATGACATATCATATCACACATAGATCATCCATCCATATGCATAATGATATCCATTATATCATGGCGTGCGGATAGACCATTGCTTGAAATGACATTTGAGGGTATGTTCCACAATGAAAAAAAAAAACAAGAAACCCTGACAAGTATTTACATGTACACGACAATCTAAAACTGCCCAGCTCTAATATGCTCATCCAGATGCTGTGCATTGAGTGTGCCTGGTAGCTCTTGAAATCCTTCGTTGAAAATAGAGTAGGCACTGGTGTTAGTGGAAGGGGAAGTGGGAATGAGAGGAGGAGTCGGGAATAAATGGATTTTTGTGGGAGTCAAAAACAGAAAATGCTTGAAGCAACAAGAGTGCATAAGACAGCCATGTTTCGAGAAGACTGAGAAGCACAAGCACTCACCTTGCTTCCCCTTGCTGGCGTGTGCCCAGGTTGAAGAAGATGAGGGCAAAGCAGGTGCCCAGGATCTGCATGGGGTGTGGCGAGGTATGGGGGACATGTGGGGGTTGAGGATTGACTCTAAAGGCTTCCCCTTGCTGGCGTGTGGTGAAGTTGAAGGAAACGAGTGTACAGCAGGTGCCCAAGATCTGCAGGGGCGTGGCGAGGCATGGCAGAGATGTGGGTATGGTAGTTGGGGGACACTTAACCCCCAAAACTGCAGGGTTGCAACGAGGCATGGAGGACAAGTGGGCGGTGGACAGGTGGAAAGAGGATGGTCGAAATGAACTGATTGCAGCCAGGTGGATAGTGATCTTCAAACCAACGGCTGCTGAAAGGGGTAGCTTACAAAGAGAGGGCCGAGCTCGAAATAGATTTGAAGCAGCGGTGCAGTGATGAACCAGAGGATGACCAGCAGCCACTTGTGTGGAGAGAGCCAGAAGAAGGGGACGAGGAGGAAACCTGGGATGATGGGGAAACGAGGGAGTCCATGAGGGGGTAATGAGGCTGACATCAACGGCTGCTGAAAGGGGTAGCTGACCTCGGGGAGATTGAAAGAAAGCAGAAGAGGAAGGAATTGTGTAAAGAAGAGATGCCTGGACTGCAGAGAGAGGGCACCTGGAATTTTGCACTTGTCTTGTAGGAAGAGGAAGATTCGGCGCTGGAGAGGCGATGCTGATGCTGGGATGTCAAAGACCTGATGAGAACGACAAGGGGGAGGGTGGGGGTTCGGTGGGGTGGGTGGGGACGGTGGATAAGGGGGAGGGTAGGGGGTGAAAGGTCGGTTTTCGGCAGGGCGATGGAGAGGTGGATAAAAAGGAAGAGGGGGCTATAAAGTGATGCAGAAGGAATGAGAAGAGGAGAATCCAACGCAGAGACAGGTCAGATGATGAGTATCATTCAACATTGGGGAAAATGAGGGGGGGGGGAGTGGAGGTCGGGAAGAGAGCACAGAGAATTCCTTCATAGGAGGTAGGGGAAGGGGGGGTTGCAGGTTGGAAAGGTACACAAGGATTTCCATCATACGAGCCAGTGGCTCACCTCCTCCTCTTCCTGTCAATCAGAACGAAAAAACGGTTTCTTCATGTCTCACCTCCTCCTCTTCCTCCTCCGCCTCCCCCACTCTAGCGTTCGCCACCTGCGGCGGGGGTGCTCTGGGACGCACTGTAGCGAGTATGACGTCTGGGGTTAAGACGGCGGGAGGCAAGAGGTGTGGGGGACGTGGGAAAGAGGGGTGACTGTGGGAGGAAAGGAAGCGGGAAGATTGCAGTTCTGGCTGTACACTGACATGACGGACGTCCAACGGCCATGATTGATAGTTAATGACCAATAATGACCGTTCATGATCATGAATGGCCGTCAATGTCAATCTGAGCCAAAGTTAGCTAGTGACATGAGAAGGTACCGTCGTCTCGGAGATCCAACGTGGCAGCGTCTGACACACTGTCATCTCGACAAGCATTGACGGATGCATCTTGGCCGTCCAAATGTTTCGCACGATCCGAAGGTCCAGACGATGAGGAACAAGCCGAGTCGCCTGCGAGCACGGTTCCTCGCACAATAAGTGTTAACCGGTCGTCCGCGGGTAACCCTGTTGCTTCGCCAACTCGCTGCTTCAATTCGCCAAGCCGCACGTTAGCAGGTACGTCAATGGAGCACCTACGAAGCGCTCCAGGCGTCTTCACGTGAAGCGTCAACATATTCAATCAGTTGCGATAAATATCACAGGAGGAAATAGAAGGAAATAAACGATCAAAGTGGAAGAAGCTCAGTCAGATTCTCCTTCACTATTGGAGGCTAACGAAAATCGCGGGTTCGTGCACCGACACACTTTCCCTTCTGTGTGGCGACTGTCTCCGTCTCCACGTATTCGTCTCCAGTCAGTCGTCAATCTCTAGGATACTTGGTGAATAACATGCGACTTGAGTATGTATCTACCTATCAGGCATTAGCGCAGTGATAATCAGTTGCAGTTCCCGCATGCTGTTGGAGATGGGAGAGCGTAATGAAGCAGGATGTGCAGTCTACGTCCCTTTCCGCGGTAAAAAACACTTCGATACGGGCAGCTAAGTTTCAACAATATTAACGGTGAACTAGAACACGGTAAGCTGTTAAGCAGAGCAATGAAGTACACAATTGTACACCCCTACAGCAACACCAAGCCCCAGCAACACACTTCAAAACCCCCAGCAACGCGTGATGTGTACGGTACATTCATGAGCTCTAAAACTGTGGCCCTCTTTTGGAAAGCTATCCCTGCAATAAATCTCATCATCGTTTAAGCTAACACTTCAGGAGCATTGCTACCCTGCCTGGTTCTTACACAACCCCTGTAGGCAGTCTAACCATGAGCTGTCCTTCCATCACACTGCACACACACAAGAACAAGAAACCAGGCATAAATATGAGCCACAGAAACACACCCACGCACACATGATCTTGAGGGTTATATATAGTGCACTAGCAGAAAAGCACTGGAATCTTCAGTCTTTAGGCAGAAGCAGCGGCGGTGAGCCAAAAAGGTATGCAATCCCTGACAACAATTTACGGCAAGGCCCACCTCCTGACGTAGTAGTAGCAGAAGTCAGCGAGAATGAAGGTCTGCACGATCTCTGAGAGCAGCACCATGGCCGGCCACATGCCGTAGCCTATGGTGGTCATGATGAAGCTGTGCCCGTCCATCACCTGGAGGGGGGGTGGGGCGATGACAGGGTTAGACTGACCAGGGAGAAGGGGAGGGAAGCACGAGGGGAAAGGTACCAGGGCAAAGAGCACCATGGTGGGCCACATGCCGTAGCCTATGGTGGTCATGATGAAGCTGTGCCCGTCCATCACCTGAGGGAGGAGGTGGTAGATCAACAGGGAGAAGAGGCGGGAAGCAGAAAGTAGAAAATGAAGGAGTAGCAAAAGCGAGCGAGAGCAGCACGATCATCGAGAGCAGCACCATTAGCCTATGGTGGTCATGCTGAAGCTACGCCCGTCCATCACCTGGTAAGGGGGTGGGTTGATGGCAGGAGAAAGCGAGAAAAGCAACGAGAGAAAGGCATCAGGGCGAGGAGCACCATGTGAATTGGCCTGATGCAGCTGTGTGGACTGCACGCGTACCTCTGTGCTACCATACCTTACCAAGAAGTGCTTTTGAGGTGCCTGTGAGGGGGTGTTCTAACCTTGTACCAGAGAGAAAAGCAGATGGACGAGAAGAGGTTCCAAGTCGAGTATATGAGCAGAAATGGGAGGCGCGTTGGGGATGTGGCACGTGCTACAGCCTGCAGCAGGTGCAATACAGGCCACACGTCTCCCAAGTCATCACCCCTGCTACAGGCAGCCAGACGTGCAAAGTGTAATGCCCCATGGCATGCAACAAAGCAGCGGCACTGACCTGCAGGATCCAGTGTGCGCAGGAGAGGAAGCGGGCGATACCGAGAGCAAAGACGTAGTGCGCTGTGAAGGGCTCCACTAGCTGGGGGAGAAAAGGGGTGGGAGGGGAGGGAGGGGCGGTGAAGGGGAGGAGAAGCGGGGAAAGAGTGGGAGAGGTTGAACAGTCTGGGATGGTACCGAGTGCAAAGAAATATTGCGCCGAAAAGGGCTCCACTAACTGGGGGGGAAGGGGACGGGAGGAGGGGGAGGGTCGGAACAGCGGGGAACGAATGGGAAAATGAGTGCGAGCGGTTGAGTGGGGCAATGCCGAGCGCAAAGACATAGGGTTGTGAAGGGCTCCACTAGCTGGTGGGTTAGGTCGAGGGGGGGTGCAACAAGTGAAGGGGGAAAGAGTGGGTTAGGCTGAGTGGTCTGGGGTGACGCCGAGCTGGAAGAGTGGGAGAGAATAACGGGAGGCCTGGGAAAGGGGACAGCAGAGAGGAATGGGTGGGTCGGGAAAGACGAGAAGAACGGGCGGGGTGCAGTGCAGCTGCCAGTAGAGAGGAGACTCGTTGTGATGCGGAGATGAAAGGGGTGGTTGGAATGGGAAGGAGAGAGGGGAAGGCGGAGAGCAGGGACAGAGTGTGCTGAAGGGTCCAAGAAGTTGATGGCACATGGCGGTAGGGGGACAGGGGACAAGAAGGGTTCTTGAGCGGGTGACCGCCACTGGGGCGTGAAGAGATGAGGACTGATACAGCGGCCAATGGGGAGGGAAGGGCGGGAGTGGGGGCTACAGGCATAAAGCATCACGTCAATTATAGCATCCGCTCGTCCACATGCTGCTGTGTCACACGTATCGTGCTCTTGACGTTTTTGGCCCCAACCACAGATTCCTGAATTTTTCCTTCTTGATATCCATATAACTGACTCACATTCCCCCATCTAAGCCAAGTGTAATACATTTCCCGCTCGCCTCCCCACCGATTCACCTTGGCGTTCTGCATGACCCTCAGCTGCGGCAGCACGGACACGGCCTCGAGGTACACACAGAAGAGCGACGCCCTACCCCTCCCCCTCCTCTCCCCCCCTTCATCTATGCCAAGCGCACTCCCTTCCTCTCCCACCCCCCGTTTAACCCCGCCGCTCACCTTGGCGTTCTGCATGACCCTCAGCTGCGGCAGCACGGAGACGGCCTCGAGGTAGACGCAGAAGGCCCAGAGCACGCGGTTGACGATGAAGTGCGACGTGCGCGGATGCACCAGCAGCGCCAGGACGGCGCACGGCGCCAGCTGCAGGGGGAAAGGGGGAGGGGGACGGCGGAGAGGGGGAGGCAAGGGGGGGCAAGGGAGGGGTGGGAGGGGATAGAGGGAGGGGACAAGGGGAAGAGACGGGATGCAAGGGGAATAGGGGCGTAAGGAGCCCAGAAGCACGCGGTTCATGATGATGATGCGCGACGTGCACGGATGCACCAGCAGCGCCAGGATGGCGCACGGCGCCAGCTGCAGAGACAATAATGGAGGGGGGGGGGGGGGGGGGAGGGGGGAGTGCGGGGGGAGGGGGGAGGGGGGGGGAGGGAAGGAAATGTGTGGGGGGGAGAAAATGTTGGTGTTTTTGGACACCCAACTGTTGGTCGAGGGCTCAAAACTCGGGATTAATCACAGGCGTTTTTTAACACCCAACCATCACTAGGAAGGATGAACCAGGCCTCGACAGCTCCCGTATTGATGGTAGATTCGTTATAATCACAAATCTGTTCGTTACTCACAATGTAGACGTGCGCGAGGTTGTCGAGATCTTCCGAAAGGGTGGAGCGCAGCTGGAATCGCATGGTGTAGATGACCCACGCCGTGGTAACCAGCGTCGCGAGATCCAGCAGCGTGTGGATGTCCTTCTCCATCATCATGCTACAGTACAATCGGACGGCCAGAAATATCGCTGTCAGCTCCTGAGACTTGAGGGAGAGGCCTGCGATAAGCAGAAGGACGTGATGGAGGAAAACAAAAAAGGAGAATCATCTCATAGTAAAAATTAAGAAGAAATTGTTGAATTTGAAAGTAAGGTGAGGGAAGTCACCAGCAATTAAAATAAATATGGCCATTCTCTCTAGCATTGCGTCGTCGCACCATTGCAAAACAGGAACACTACGGAGAGGGAAAACAGTCCGGAATGTCAAACATGTAAAGATAGGGCTGGGTTTGAGCTAATGTTCTGAAACCCTTGTTCGTCATGAACGGCGTCCGAAGGCAATAGGGTAAAGTAGATGATTTTGGCTTGTTCGTTCGCGTTCTCTGTCACTTTCCGCCGTCGCTTCAAGCGGCGGTTGACCAGTGGAGAACACAGATAATACATGTAATGAAACTTCAGAAGTCAAAATCTAACAGGAGACTATTGACATATCTGCAGAACACCACAAGAGCCAACGCGACTGCTGGAAAATCACACCTCCACACGGTGTGTATCTAAAAATAAAGGCGTATTTAAACGTACCTGCACAGTTCTTTTCTCGCGTCAGCTTGTAGACGAGCACGCCGATACCGATGGCATGGATGGCCTCGGCAGCGACGAAGAGATTGTCATGATCCACCACCATGAATCTCAGAAATATCAGCGCCGCAATCCCGATGCATACGCCGAGAAACGCCTTGATCTTAGGCGGCTGCTTTTTTAACCACCACGTGGCGATCTGAATGGGATTCTTCGGCCGCCGATCGGCACCCATTGAGCTTTATTTTATGAACCTGCTGTCCGCACTTTGTAGCCAAAGCTAAATACTAACTGCGCTACGTAAGTTGTCACAGGATACTGAGTAAGAACCTAAGAAAGGATGAGAAGGTGACGAGATTCTGAGAAAATAATGGAAATGTGACTCCTTGTCAGCAATTTACAATCAAGTGGATGTGAGCGCCATGGCCAAGATGGATCTCCCAGCCGATGAGCAGCGAAGATTGGCGAGAGCTGGCGATGTTACACTCGAAACTGTACCAGCCTTCGCATAATTCAGGAGTTCCGCAACTCTCGCCAAGCAGACAGTTGAAAGCTGAGTTGGTTGCAGCCAACCAACCGTCAGCTTGCGTAATTCTGGCATTCTGCATCTGCAGTGTCCCCGCCAGGTTGGGGAATGACGGAACGCGTACGCGTCTCAAGGTCGGATTCAGGAGACGGCTTTTGGTTTGCTTGACTCTCTACAACATCTTGCTCCCAGCTCTGTTTATGTGAGCTGCAAACTGAGCAACTTGAGGCAGATAAGTTAATAGCGATATAAAAGTCTTCATTTAGTGTTACCATTTTTAACCGTCGTGTGTTTATTTTTTAGGGCATTCTAAGCTTTTTATATTGAACTCTTGTGTTTTAAGTTAAATCGTTGTAAATGTACACGAAACTTGTTTATATGAAAATGAGTTCTTATACATGACCTTACACTCGATAGATTCTGTCGGAGCGCGTACTCGTTTCATGCTCTTCTCTCCCCTCGCTACACGAACGGCAGCGGAATCAACACAAGCTGACCTGGAAGAGTTCAACCCCTGTCAACACGAAACGGAGCTCAGAGCGAGCCTATAGGGCAAGGGCATGGCCAGAGCGCTACCACTGACCAATAAGGAGCCAAGCCAAGCATGGCACACGGCGGAGACTTCGGTTCGGGTCTGAGGGGTGCTACAGCTGATGGCGCAGGTACGCGGCGCTTGTCCCCGTCCCCGCATCCCCGTCCCCTCCCCATCTTTCCCCACTTTCCCCCTTCCCTGCGCATGCTTATTTCGGGACTCGCGTTGCCCGTTTGAACACGGCACAACAACTCCAGCGAGGGCGGCAATCGCTAAAGGATTTCCTCGAACGCTGGCGAACATCAGACGGTTTCGCAGTGGGGGAAACGGAACTTCGAGAGTGTTTTCTCGAAGAATGGCGAGCGTCGTGATTGATTTGGTGGCCCCGAGAGCACCTGCGACTCCAAGTGGAAACCAGATGTCCTAGAGGGGGAAAACTAGGACCAGAACCAAAGCATCATTTGAAGCAGCAAGCACACGAAGGTTATGGCTAACGCGTCACAAGTGGTGCCTAAATCGAAGAGACGGAAGTGCGAGTTTCAGTACACTATTGGCTGCGTCTGATAATCTATCACTAGTTTGGCGCGTTTGATCAAAAGGCACGGGCGTCGCTCGAACCTACCTCGTTGTTTGAACCAGCACGCCCCACGTCCGCGTTTGTGGTCCTTCCACATTTTCGCAAGAATAAGCGTTTATCACTGGAGCAGTCAAGTCACGTTTTTTTTTTGTCACCTAGTTGCCCGCCATGGGGTGCGGTAGCAGCAGCATATCGAAGCACATGCCCTCTATGATGCTCTCCGACGGCTCCGCGTACGGCAAGGCGCGAAAGTCGGCCGCTAAGGACCTTGTCGACGCGCACAAGGAGTTTTATAACGCGTCCTCCGTTTACGCGGACTCTCTTAAAACCGCCGGCACCGCGCTGTTGATCTACTGCGAGGGGACGAACATCTTCATCGGGTCCGCGCTCGGGGCGAATGTTCCGCCGCAGGCCTTCCAGAACGTTCCGCCCGTGCAGGTGTCGGAAGTTTCCGGGGAAGTTGCGGTCGTGGGAGATACGGCGGAGTACGCGGCGGGAAACGCGGTGGAGCAGAGTGGGTCGGGGGCGTCTAGTTCAATCGTGCTTGCGGGTTCCGGAAGTTCCGCCGCGTTGCCCGCGCCGACTCCCGTTCCGCCGCAGCCGGTTGCGCCTTCCCCGTCCCCTCCCCCTCCGCCAAGAGACTCGGCTCCCGCGGGGGCTTTTGGCGGAACTCCTCCGCCAGGCCCCGGTGGTCCTCCCCCGGCCTATCCGTACGGCTCCGCGCAGTATCCGCCACCTCCCCCGGGTTCCGGTTACCCTCCGCCTCCTCCCGGTTCCGGCTACCCTCCGCCGCCCCTGATCGGCGGCGGAACCCCGCCGCCGCCGGGGAGTTCCGCGTATCCCCCGCCGCCCCCGTATCAAGGCACTCCGCCGCCCTATCAGGGCGGCACTCCTCCCCCTTACCAGTCCAACTCTGGCGGGTATGGTCCCCCCCCGCCATATCCCCCCCAGGGCACTCCCGCTCCGCCGTTCCCCGGATATGGCTCCCCCGGCGGGGCTCCGCCTCCCGCGGGGGGTTACTCAGGGGGATACTCGGGGGCGTATCCTCCCCCTCCGCCCCCTGGCGGAGCGTACGGGGTCCCCCCGCCTGCGCCCGCGGGCGGACCGGGGGGATGGGAGCAGCGGCCGCAGGGGCAGCTTCCGCCTCCGCATCTCGCGGGAAATTCCGGGCAGATGCTGAGCAGCTCCGGGAATTTCGGCGCGCCAGGCGCGTCAGGCGCGTCGGGAGTTATTGGGGGGTCGCCAGGGATGCTCGCCGGATCGGGGCAAATAATAGCCTATGTTGGCCCTAGCGGCGGCGCGGTTCTAGGCGACAAGTGGGCGGACGAGTTCGCTAAGAAGGTGAACGCGCATTTCCTGGAAGCTTCCGCGCGGATCATGGCGCTGGTGGAGATTCTTAAAGTCGGAGCGCCCATTCCGAAGAACGCGGTTCCGCCGCTGACGGTGGCAGCGGCTACTAAGGAGAACGGGCAGCTGGAGAGTATTGGCGACACGGTTCAGAAGCTGCTTAACTGGGAGCGCGATATTAAAGACAAGATCTGGGTGAGTTAATTCTCGAGGCGCCTCGGAATATGAAATGAGGGGGATTGCGGACTGGTCTCACGCGGAGCTTGAGAGCATGTACTCTCACCACTCCCCACTTGTCTCACCTCTCCCACCACTCTTCCCCCCTCTCCCCCCCCTCCCCCTCCCCCTCCCCTCTCCTCCCCTCCCTTCTCCTCCTTCCCAATGTAAGACACTCTTTCTGAGTCGACTCAATAATGGACTTCCTTTCCACGCGAGATCCAGACATAGCTCAGTGAGCTGCGTGCATGCAGAAGGCTTGAAGCAATGGACTTCCTTTCCCCCCACATTTGTTTCCTCCGCTTGTTTCTCTCCCCCCGTTCCTCTTCTCCCATTTCTTACCTCCTGTTTCTCTCCTACCCTTCCTCTCCTCCACTATTCTCCTCTCACTTATCTCCTCTCTTCACTATCCTTCTCCTCGCATTGCTCTCCTCCCTTCACTATCCCGCCAGTGCTGGGACTGGCGGTGCATCTGTTCAAATGTGCTGACACCCATCATTCTTCCCCTTGTCCCTCCCTCTTCCTCCCTTCCTCCCTTACTCCCTCCCATCCACCCTCCCTCTCCCTCCCACAGGTGGCCATATTGACTCGCCCCCGAGTGGCAGCACTGATGGCATTGCGGGCAGTGCTGGGACTGGCGGTGCATCATTTCAAATGATCTGGCACACTTCGTCCCCCCCATCCCATCCATCCTTCCTTCGTCCTTTCCTCACAGGTGGCCATACTGACTCGCCCCAGAGTGGCAGCACTGATGGCGGTACGGGCAGTGCTGGGGCTGGCGGTGCATCTGTTCCGCCAGGGCTTCTCGCTGCTCCTCATCTACCATCTCAACCTCCCCGTGCACACCAACGGGCTGCTGCTCTCATTGCAGGTGAGCGGTGGTGAGTGGTGGTGAGTGGTGGTGAGTGATGAAATGGGGGTGTGAGAGGCTAATGGTTAGTATGTTGTGCCCACCTCTCTTCCTCTATTCACATGTTCTTCTCCCAGGGTCTCACATTGCTAGTACAGGGCCTCGCCATCTGTCCCTTGCTGTACCGCTTCCAGTGTGCCTTCAACAAGGCTATTTCATCCACCTCTTCTTCTCTTCACCATCCCCACCTCTCAGGGCCTCCTCACATCACTTGTACAGGGCCTCGCCATCCATCCCTTGCTGCACCGCTTCCTGTGTGCCTTCATCCACCCAATTTTATCCTCTTCTCTTCACCATCCCCACCTCTCACCCTATCCCCCCCCTCAGGGCCTCCTCACATCGCTGGTACAGGGCCTCGCCATCCGCCGCTTAATCTCGTCGCCATCCTCCCCACCTCCATGCTTATATCCCCACCCCTCAGGGTCTCCTCACATCGCTCGTTCAGGGCCTCGCCATCCGTCCCTTGCTGCACCACTTCCCGCACCATATTTCAGCCTGTCAGACCTTATTCGGTGTCCCTCTCTTCCAATCCCCACCTCCTAGGGTCTCCTCACATCACTAGTACAGGGCCTGGCCATCCGCCCCTTGCTGCGCCGTTTCCCAGAAGAGCCTCTCATCTTCCGCGGCCTCCTGCTGCTCTCACTCACGCTCGCCCTGCTCGCTGTGACGCTCATTAGGCACCTGATTCCCCACTATACACATATCAATGCAGGGCCTCCTCACATCGCTGGTACAGGGCCTTGCTATCCGTCCCCTGCTGCGCCACTTTCCGGAAACACCTCTCATTTTCCGCGGCCTGCTGCTGCTCTCCCTCACTCTCGCCCTGCTCGCTGCTGCTCCCAGCCTTGTAAGCATCTGCGCCCCAGCCTTGTAAATCTATATTACCCTCCCCCTCTCCCTGCCTGCTATTGCTCTCACTCACCCTCACCCCGCTTGCTGCTGCTCCCAGCCTTGTAAGCACTTGTTGTCCCAGCCTCATAGCGTTCCTCCTTGTAGCATGCTCTCTGCATCTGCCTCTCCCTTTGCTTCTTCTTCTCGCTCTCCTTCACCCATTGCTGTGTCTCTCAGCCTCATAAATCGTTCCTCCTTGTAGCATGCTCTCTCCATCTGCCTCTTCTGCTTTTTTCTCTGCCTCTTCTTCTGTTTCTCCATCTGCCTCTTCCTCTGCCTCTCACTTCGTGCTTTGCAAAAGCCCTCTCGCTTCTGTTATTCTGCCATTTTTGCGTGTTTTCCGCCCTTTTTTATGCTGGAGTTGCTTTTGAGAACTCTCAAATACCCTCCCGATCCCAACTCCCCTGCCTTCAGATTTTCCTGATCCTACTACTACCTCCGCTCGCCCTCTCAACCGGTGTTCTCCGCACCACATACACTGCCCTTCTCACAACATCTGTCGCTCAGAGTGAGGTAAGCCTCTTGCCCTCTTCCCCTCTTGCACACGTTGTGTGAGGAAACTATGCCTGTTAAACTGTCCAGTGCTCGTGAACTGAGACGATTATTTAGGCGCCTAAAAAATTCCCCTCTTGCTCACGCTGTGTGAAGAAAGGAAACTACGTCTGTTCAACTGTCGAGTGCTCGCCATTCGAGATGGCAGGCACCGTACGCTCTCTTCTCCCATCTCCCTTCTCCACTTCTCTTCAACCATCACTTGCTGGGAAGCCAAGCAATGTAACGTCTCGAGTGCTCCGCCCCACATCGTGTCGGCCTGTCAAAAGCACTGTCCCTCTTTACACGACACCGCATGCTCTCTTCCTCCCTCTCCCTCTTCCCGTCCAGGTGACTTTTGAGTCGACTCAAAAGTCACCTCGACTCAAAAGTCACCTCAAAAGCACTGTCCCTCTTTGACACGACACCACATGATCTCTTCCCCCCTCTCCCTCTTCCCTGCCTCTCTTCCAGGTGGGTCAGCTGCTGGGTCTATCAGATGCCATCATGTCGGCCTGTCGAGTGCTCGGTCCCTCTGCTGCTGGCCTCCTCTCATCTCAATTCGGCTATCACGCCCCAATGTAAGACACTCTTTCTGAGTCGACTCAATAATGGGGGAGGGGAAGGTGGGGCCGCGGGACTCCCCACCTTCTCCTCATCAGGACATTGAGACCATTCGCGCGGAGCTCAAGAGCAAGGCCAAGCGGATGCGCAAAGAGGCTGTGCGGGCGAGCGAACCCTCCATACTCCGCCTTACCCCCCTTTCCCTTCATCAGGACATGGAGACCATTCGCGCGGAGCTCAAGAGCAAGGCCAAGAGGGTGCGCAAGGAGACTGCGGGCGAGCGGGAACGCCCCTTCTCACCTCGTTCCCCCCTCTCCTCTTCCGTCCTCCCCCTCCCATTTTCCCCTCCCACCCCACCCCATCAGGACATGGAGACAGTTCGTACTGAGCTGAAGAGCAAGGACAAGCGGGTGCGCAAGGAAACCAAGCGCGCGAGCGGGAACGCGAACGCGGATCCGCGGAAGCTTGAGGGCGCGCAGACGAAGCTGGGGGACGTGCAGCACCGCATGGCGGGCGCGAGCGAGAGGGTCGTGGCGGCATGTCACTCTGTTGAGTGTTACAAGACGGATCTGCTCTTCCCGCAACTGCTGCGCCTGCTGCCCTGGTGAGTTTTGAGGCACCTCAAAAGCCGCCTGCTGCCGTGGTGAGCGGATGGTTGCCGCATGTCACTCTGTTGATTGTTACAAGACCGATCTGCTCTTTCCCCAGCTGCTCCGCCTGCTGCCCTGGTGAGTGCGCGTGTGGGGGCGGGAGGGGGAAGGGAAGGGAGTGCGATGAGCGAGAAGATGGTGACGGCATGCCATGTGGTTATAAGACCGATCTTCTCTCCCCCCAGCTGCTGCGCCTGCTGCCCTGGTGAGCGCTGCTGCCCTGATGCGTGGAAACGGGGGTGGGAAGGGAAATAGTGGGGAGGGAAGCGAGGGAAGGGGGGAGAGAAAGGGGGAGGGCGCGCAGGTGAAGCTGGGGGACGTGCAGCACCGCATGGCGGGCGCGAGCGAGTGACGGCGTGTCATGCTGTGGAGGCTTATAAGACGGACCTGCTGTTCCCCCAACTGCTGCGCCTGCTGCCGTGGTGGGTTGTGGGGGGGCTGGGAAAAAGGGAGGGAAGGAAGGAGTGAGCGCGTGGTGACGGCTTGCCATGCGGTGGGGCTGGTGCGTTGGTTGGGGGGTGGGGGAAGGAGTGGGGAGGTTTTTAGGGAGGGAGGAAGGGGGGGAGTTGAGAGATACGGAAGGAGGGAGGGACGGACGGCTGTCAGTGGTTGCTCACCTGGTGAGTGCAGAGCAGAGGTGACACTTTCTTTGAGTCGACTCAAAAACAGACTCATCACACGCGGAGAGACAGAAGCTGTGAGGGAGGGACGGACGGCTGCCAGTGGTTGCTCACCTGGTGAGTGCAGAGCGGAGGTGCATCTGTTATTTGAGAATTCTCAAAAAACAGATTCAACCTGGTGAGTGAGGAGCGGAGGTGACACTTTCTTGTCCGCATTGACTCTCTTTTCCTCCCTTCTCCAATGCTTGTACTCCAAGCAGCCTACGTCCACCCACCCCCAACCTCAACCGTCCTTCCCGTTCCACTGGACCCTCCCCCCTTTCCCCCTTGTTCCCCCCAGTCTGGTGTCCACGTGGCACACTCTCTCTCAGCCGCACGTGAGCGTGATACAAGTGCCCCCTCCCCTCCTCGTCCTCCCCCCCCCTTCCCGACACCCTCCCTTTCTCCAGTTTGGTGTCCACGTGGCACACTCTCTCGCAGCTGCACGATCAGCAGCAGCAGCTGTCGACCATGCTGGCCAATCAGTACATGCCACCTGTCACGCACGAGGGGGCCACCACTGCTGGGCAGGCTCCGCTCACACCGGGTGTCATGCAGGTGCGGTGGGGTGGAATGCGGTGGGGTGGAATACGGTGGGTGTTTTGGGTTGGGGTGGGATGGGATGGGGTGGTGTGCGGTGGAATGTGGTGGAATGGTCGGGATGTGGGTTCCATGATGAGTGTTACCCACGAAAGGGCCACCACAGCTGGGCAGGCGCCGCTCACGCCCGGTGTCATGCAGGTGAGAGGTGGGACGAAGTGGTAAGGGTGTAAACGAATACTGATATATTCGTATTCGGTATTCGACGAATACCAAATAAAAAACGAAACGAATATCACTGCCTATTTGACTATTATTCGGATATGACTATTCGATGTATTCGGTATTCGCCAGCCAAATACTCGGGTATTCGTATAATTATTCGACTATCCTAATCTGTATGCCACTAGATTTTGAAAGGTGTGTCTCTTGTGTTTCACTCGGATCATCAGTGATGAAAGCACCGGCAGTGCTTTCGGCCTACTTTGAACCACAGCCCAAGGTTCTGTGTATGGCAAAAACCGTATTCGTATTCGTATTCGTCACAGAACCACGTATTCGAACAGTATTCGTGAACGGACTATTCAAACCTTATTCGGATTCGGTAGAAGAGGGCTATTCGACCGAATACGAACTTGCTTACTATTCGTTAAATATTCGTATAAAAAACCGTCACGCAGTGGGGTGGTTGGAGTGGGGTGGGATGGGGTGGAATGGGGTGGGATGGGATGGGGTGGTGTGCGGTGGAATGTAGTGTTGGGATGGATGTGGTTCCACGACAAGTCCGTTCTGCTTGTAGCAATCTCCTTCCCTAGTCAAGTCAATGGCGCTGTGGCTTGAACTCGAGTGACTTGTGCTGTGGCTTCCCTATTCGCTGTGGCTTCCCTAGTCAAGTCAATCTGCTTGTATCGGGTTTGAGAAACCACAGCGAGTGTGTAGCCTGCGTCTTTCTCACTCATTTCGCTTCTCCCAAAACCCCCCTTTGCTGCAACAGGTCCCCAGCACCACCGTAGCGCAGCACGAAGCGAGTATGAATCTGACCCTCCGCAATGCTGCCGGATCTCACACCTCAATGATTCCCCTCACCCCTCCCTTCCCTTTTGCTGCTGCAGGTGCCCAGCACTACCAAGGCACAGCACGAGGCGACCAAGAAGCTGACCCTCATCAGGCAATGCTGCCAGCCAGATCGTGACACCGGGCATTCTCACAATGATTCCTCTTCACTCCCTTCTCTTTGCTGCTGCAGGTCCCCAGCACCACCAAGGCACAGCACGAGGCGACCAAGAAGTTGGAAGACGCGTTCAAGAAATGGCACTCCTCGCTCAGGTAGCCCCCTGGGGGTGTTAATGTGATGTCAATGGGATGTCAATGCGATGTCAATGGGATGTCAATGTGATGTCAATGGGATGTCAATGTGATGTCAATGGGATGTCAATGTGATGTCAGTGGGATGTCAATATGATGTCAATGTGATGTCAATGTGATGTCAATTCAATGTGATGTCAATGTGATGTCAATGGGATGTCAATGTGATGTCAATGCGATGTCAATGGGATGTCAATGCGATGTCAATGGGATGTCAATGTGATGTCATTGGGATGTCAATGGGATGTCAATGTGATGTCAATGGGATGTCAATGGGATGTCAATGCGATGTCAGTGCAATGTCAATGCGATGTCAATGCGATTTCAATGGGATGTCAATAGGATGTCAATGTGATGTCATTGTGATGTCATTGTGATGTCAGTGTAGGTAGGCCTGCATCTCAGTGTACCTTTCTGGATGTACCCCTTTATCCTACCGTTATGCCTCAGTCCTCCCAACTCTTCCCCCATCTATCCTCCCCATTTCTCCCCCCCTCCCCGGACGTTTTGTCTCCCCTGCCCCGCTCCCTCCACCCACCCGCCCACCCTCCCCTCACCCCCAGTGTGCTGTGCGCTGCTCAGCGCAAGTTCTTCTCAGCGCTCATCACCTGGGTGCGCAAGACCCTCATGTTCTCCCCTTTCTCCTGCCCACACCACACCCACTCCTTCCTCCCCCTCCCCCACGGCCAGTGTGCTATGCGCAGCACAGCGCAAGTTTTTCTCAGCGCTCATCACCTGGGTGCGCAAGACCCTCGCCTTCCCCCCGGACTTCCCCAAGCCCCCTCTCCCTGGCACGGCCCCTCCCCCGGGTCAGTACGTGGCCAGCTGGGCTCCGGGCGGTGCAGCTGGCGCTACTCCTGCTCCGCCCCCGCCTCCCCCACCGGGTAAGCTGCTCCCACCCACCACCGCTGGGTAGTACGTGGCCAGCTGGGCCCTAGGAGGCGTTGACGGTGCTGCTGCTGCTCCGCCCCCCTCCCCCCACCAGGTAGGATGCTCCCACCACATTGTCTTTCTCCCATACCCCTTTTCCATTCCCTCGGACCGGCTGCATGTGGAGGGTCCTCTGGTGCCGCTGGGGAATGCTGGGTGCGAGCATTGGACCGACTGCCAGAGAAAGGGATGAAGGGTGCCGTACCTGAAGCTGTTATCTACATTTCTTTCCTCTGTCTGTCTGGCATGCTAACAGCATGTGGAGGGGCCGCTGGTGGAGCTGGGCGGTGTCACTGCGCTGCGCTGGACTGGATGGTTTCTGTGTCTCACTCACTGCTTCTCCTTTGTCGGTTTCGTGTTTCCTCAGGATGGATTGACTGCCATACAAGGAGGTGAATTGCCTCACTGCACTGGATGGTTGTTGTGTCTCACTGCTTCTCCTCTGTCCGTTTCCCGTTCCCTCAGGCCAACAGCACGTGGAGGGGCCACTAGTGGCACTGGGGAATGACTGGGTGAGAACAATGGATCGGCTCCCAGAGAAGGAGGTGAAGGATGCAGTAATGGGGTTCTGCGGGTGGTTTCTGTGACTCACTGCTTCTCCTCTGTCCGTTACCCCACACCTTCAGGCCAACAGCATGTGGAGGGACCACTGGTGGCGCTGGGGAACGACTGGGTGAGAACCATGGATCGGCTGCCAGAGAAGGAGGTGAAGGATGCCGTGATGGGGTTCTGTGGGTGGATAAGCCAGTCGTATGAGCGGCAGACGGCAGAAATGAAGCAGCTCAAACTCCTGCAGGACAGCTTGAAGCAGGTAAGAGGGGGGATTGGACTACCAAGCTGAGGAGTACTGTAACGTGCTCAGTCCGAAATCTTGTAGGATTTCTCTACTCACTCTATGCCACCTTCAGTTCATTCCTTCTGCCTTCTCATTGATCCGCTTCTTGTTTACAAGCCACTTGAGCCACTGTTCTGTTTTAGCTGATGGTCATGGTCTACATCTGCTTCTTAACTTGGCTCGCCCTAAACTTGTAACCTGATCCATTTGCCACACACAGTTGTCCAAGCAAGAGTCGAAGCTAGAGCAGCTGCAGCAGAAGGAGAGAGAGCTTCAGCTGGCCCTGGGAGGCCCAGCAGCAGCAGGGGCAGAGACACCAGCAGAGCAACAGGCAAAGCAAGCGAAAGCAGCAGCTGCTGCAGCTGAGGTTGCCAGCTGCAGGATTGCTTTGGAGAATGCGAGAAACAAGGTGAATGCGGAAAGTGTGGCCCTGGAGAGGCTAGGGGCTGATGCCAGAGCAGCTGCTCTGTCTGGGCTGAGACAGGGTCTGCCGGTAGTATTCGAGAATGCTGGAAGGTTTTCAGGGACGGCATCGCAAGCGTATGCCATGTTGCAGACACAGCATGCGCCATGGCTTCCAGTGCAGGTGTAGATTAGGACCACTGATGCAGCTAGCACTTGTTTACTACCGGTACCGTAGTCATTGCTCTTTGGCCTCCAGGTTTTTAACATTGTCAATTTTGCATTGTAAAGCTGTGCTATTTAGTAAGCTGCAGTGTTATACCACATTCTGCAAGTTTTTTTCACAAACACATTCCCAAGGTCGGTCAAAGAATTTCAGTAGCCTTCTTGCATCCAGAGAATCTTGTGCCTTCTGCATGCGTTGCTGTGCCAGCACACCTTCCAGCATGGTCATGTTGGGCCTAGATCCTGAAAAGGCTGGGACCAGAGCCGGTCCATATGGTTGATATGTCTCCTGCACAAAAAGCAAACAATTACCTTGAAATCTATAGAAAAGTTGGATGGACATGTTCTTGGTGCAAATTGTTGGCTGCTTACCTTGAAATCTCCAAGGTAGAACCGGTGACCTCTCAGCATCATTCCCATGTTGCCACCAGCAGTCATCAGAAAGAAGTTACTGTGGCCAAAAGTGCATAGAAAGAAGCTTGACGATGTCACTGACACAATTAGATAAAACTCTGCAACCCATCAGCAGCAAAAAGTGCGACCCCTGCTCACCTGTGAAGGCAGACAATGTAGTCGATAGCAGCAAGCACGGATGGTCTGTTGACCAGCTCTTTAACTGTGCTTTTCAATAAGTCATCCTTCGTTGCAATGTGGCGAGGAAATGCTCGATGCAATGGCCTCATAAGCCTTGCTCCATCATTCATCGCTCCTCCAGCAATGTAGATGGTTGTCATGTTGTCAACTCCCAAAGCCTGGAAGCAGGACCTTGGGGTCATCAGACACAAAAACGCATAACCTTTCCTGCATGGACAGACCTTGCGATGATAAGAGGAAGCGGTAGACCAAAGAGACTGACATACCTTGAGGATGTAAGCCGTTTCTTGAGGGGTTATGGGGCAAAGACCTGCTTGTTTTCTCAAACCGCTTTCAGTGACGTTGGACTGAAATTGAATGTTTCTCTCAGAGGCCCACTTCTTCATGTACGCATTTGTTGCTTCATCATACAGGCAGCCTGAACAGGCCCACGAGCAAACACGTCTTGTAAGTTTTTAAACTCGATGCAAACACCTCGTGTAGTGCAGGTTGTGAAAATCACCTGTATGAACAATCCAGTCAGGTTCATATCGTAGATGAACAGCTACGTAAGGTCCAGTGCTCTGAAGCTTCTGAACAACCTGAAGACCCATGCTGCACCGACATGCAATGCAAAATGAATAGGCTGGTAAAGAACATTAAACTGAGCATAGCAGCACTAGTGCAATACCTTAGAATAGGGCTCACGAACTGAAGAGCATGGTACTGAGCACGACATCTTAAGTGCTGCCAAAAAACGAGGGGAACCATGGATTAGAGAGTGCCTTGAAAACCATGAGAAAATGCATTGTCAAGAAATCTATCCGAACCTGAAGTGGTGTTGGAAGATCTTCTTGAAGCTGCATGAAAAAGTAATTCAACACAAGGAGCCCGTATTTCTGAAGGACTGGAAACGCATTCTTGATGTACCATTCTGGCTCAAGGGCCTCTGAAGGGAGGCTTATGGCGGCAAGCTTTTCTAAAGATGAAAAATTCAAGCTTGCAGGAACATCTCTGGTTCAGGGAGGAAAATGTTAGCACAGTGATTTCTATCGGACAGACATATTCAAAAAGAAAACGTCTTACTCAATCACTTCCACATCTTTCTTCAGCGTCTGAACGAAGTGAGAGACACTGAAAATCTCTGAAAACTTGCTGCACAGTACAGTCATAATAGCATTAGAATCGAATGGAAGCAAAAGAGACAGGACAATATTCGCCATACATGTTTCGTGGGGCTTACCTTTGGTCACCCCAGGCTGGATGTACGATTAATCTGGGAACAACGAGAGTAGCATTCACAATTCTTGCAACAACTACCGCGTTGGCAATTCCTCGTCGTTGCTGATTAAGACCACCCCCGACAGATACATAAAGGTACCGCTTCCACCCTGGTGCACACGCGTGGAGAGTGAGAACTTGAACACGAATCGCAACCGACTGCGAACATGGTATGCAAGCAGCAGAAGCTCTGTAAGTTGGGAGCCCACCTTCTTGGTGCTGCCCCCTGTTGTCAGAAAGACACGAAATTCTAGTTCGAGGCTCCTTCCAGGAAGGATTGAAGAGCTTGTGGAACGGATTGGCCTTTAGTGCTGCACTCGAAGCTGAAATCTCAGCGGAGGCTCGCAGCAGAACGGAAAACGTTAAAACTATGGACCGACATATTATCCTGGATGGTTTAGGTTTACACGCCATAGTGATACTTCAACCAGCTACTATATTTTGTGCAAATGGGTTGACAACAGGGTACAAGGCAAGTGGCCCGGAAAGATCTGCCTGGCAAGAAGTGGTAGAGACTCCGCCTGGTATCGCTTAGCGACAATACCAAGCGTTAGACAGATTTGTTCATGGAGCTCAAGACGGAATAAGCTGCACGGAAAGGTTGCAGTTGAGTATTCGAGATTCCAGAACCCCTCAGTGTCCTGCTGCAGAAGGATTCGAGGGCCAAAGCAGGCTGAACAGAATTCAAGGCCAGTGTTGTTGAGCTGTTGGATATGTAACAGGCTCAACGAAACCAGACAGTTTTCGTTCGATGCTGTCGTCAGGGCTGATTTCTATTTTTTGCGACGGTTCTGACCTAGGCGAAACAGTTTGCGAAAACAGAAGCTACGCCACATTACTCGGATTCAGCCATTTGTGAGCCGTCCGATTGGTTGTAATGAAATCTCGAATCGACAGACTGACGCGACTCACGGCCCCTCCGCGCTCCCGTGCCAACCTCACCTACCACCACCCAGCACACAGTCATGTAAAACCCACTTCCGCTCGTGGTCTGCTGCTTCCTCGATCGCCTCAGCTCCAACTTACTTGCTCAGGAGTTTGGTTCTCACAAATCTATGCACACGAATTGAAGATCACTTCAGCTCGCAATGGCGTGCCTTCGTCTGAAAGCGGTGCTGTTGTGCAGTTTTTTTTTAGTTGCGATCTCTTTTGAGCAGAGTGGATCTGATTCCGTCAGGCTGGAAATTGACTCGAAGTTTTCTATGGAGCCAAATCCAAGCTCCGAATTCTTCCTGCACCGCACGTACCCTCGAGCTAGTCGACTTCGGCCATGTTTGTTTAGGCGGCCAGGCGAGTTTCAAGGTCGGTATCCTAGTCCCGCTATCCTAGTTTGTGAAATGGCATCTAACAATTGATGGATATCGTGTTGCAGTTTCGTCGTTGAAGTCAAGTGGTCTGTTGTATGTAAACGTGAGAGGTGACCTCTATCAGCAGATGCGGGCGATTGCTAACTCAGTTGTGATTGCTCGCATCCTCAATGCGACGCTTGTTGTCCCGATCCTCCTAGCAAAGTCATCGCAGGAGGAGATAAGGTAAGTCAACACCGTTCTTCGCAATTTACCAACTTCTTTGCGTATTTTTACATCCTGCCTTCACATACAGCCGATTTGAAGATATCTTCTCCGAAGACCATTTCATTGAAACCCTGAAGGATGATGTCAACATCGTCAGGTATGACGTGCAACAGACTTCTCTCCGGTCGTCTTTTCTCAGATTGTTAAGCCACTGAAGCATTGGCGCAGACAAACGAATTTTGCAGTTACTTCTGATACTTTGGAGCACGTTCGACCTGATCACCGTACGCTGAATGTAGACTGGTACCTCCACAATGTGGCACCTGTTCTTCAGGAAGAGGGAGTGGCAGTGCTGGACCACTTCCTTCTTTTCCTTTCCCGGGACTTGCCAGAAGTTTATCAGGTACAATGTCACTGGTGAGAAGTTTCCCAGAAGTATTTCAATGCTTTGGTGCGATTGGCTAGTTCAATTATTTGAGTCAACTCAAGTGAAATAATATATATTTTTCTTATATGTTTTCCTCTTTGGCAGCGCCTACGGTGTAGAGCGCTCTACCACGCCTTACTATTTACCAGCGAGACCCTGGGGCTTGGAATGAATGCTGTTGAACGGCTTCATGCGGAGGGTCCTTATGTTGCACTCCATTTGAGCTTTCAGGATAGAAACATATTGAGATCAAGTAAGTTTAGCTTCTTCTTTTTTCCGATTATGCTGTAACTATTGTGTTGTGTAACAGAATTGACTGTTTCTACAGCTTGTGTCTATGATTCCGAGACGGCGCAGATGGTTCAAGAATGGTTTGCAGCCCACCACATGCGACTGCAAAGTGATTCCGGTGCAGCCAGTCAACAGAAGCTAGCGGGACTCTGTCCGTTGTCACCAAACGAGGTCACACACATTCTCCAGGCATGTGTATTGGGTCTTTTCCGTCTGCTTGAGGCGCTGATCCTTTTTGTTCACACCTTTCCCACCTTTACCTCCTCTTTCCTGCCTCAGGCAATCGGCATTGGAAACCATACAAACGTATATGTGGGTGGAAGCTGTGACAAGGTGGAGCAGCTTTTGACGCCCTTGAAATCAGCTTTTCCTGGAAAAGTAGTCAGCAGGTGTGATCTTTTGGATCCAAGCATGGCCCAGAGAAGCTCCCACCTAATGCAGGCATTTGACTATATTGTCAGCCTTGAAAGGTGAGAAGTGTTGGTGAATAATGCTGCTGGTTTATAAGTGTGCTGCAACATTTTGTGGAATCTACTTGCCCCACTCTCCCCCCTGCCTTCTCACCTCCCTCACTTGCTTCCCCTCCCATGATGGCAGCGATTTTTTTATGACCAACAAAAGAAGCAGCATTACTGTCCTTCTTAGAGGACAAAGGTTTTACATGGGGGCACAGAAGGTAAGTTGATGCCAGTGAAGCCATATTATTGTATTACTTCAAAGCTTGACTATTTCTATATCATGCAGGAAACCTACCAACCCTTTGTTCCAGCACTCCTCCCAGTACTAGCACAAGGAGCAGCTGGACAGGAAGAGTTGAGACAAAGGGTGCTTGACCACAGAAAACAAGTGGCCGAGCTTCCCATAAAGGCCAGCAGATGGCACTTCTATGATAGGCCGTGGGAGAGTGTATGTCACTGACACTAGTTCTATACACCATAGAGGTTCCAGTGAAGCCATCACTTTTGTGCCACCTAAAGAAAAACTATTTTTTTCATTACGGTATGTACCTGAAAGCCCTAAATGTTTGTCAGCAGCACTCCTTATACCAGGATGAGGAGTACACATACACGTTAGGAAGAGATGAAGCAAAGATTGCAAGAGGAGTACGGTACCGCTGAGCTTCCCTTCATAACGAGTGGTACCACATGGGTGGGGGGGAGTCCATATGACAATTTATTTGACCTGCATCATGAAGTCGTTGATCATTTACTATTTTTCTAATATTTATGCGCTTAGTTCATACAGTTCTATTGCCCTCACAATTTAGGGAACCTGATGGGGGGAATAAACAATCATGCGTAGTGTAGTACGCTTTCTGGTCTTCTGAAGTTGAATAACCCCCTTAGTGAAGTCTTGGGTTTTTTGAACGGAATGTGCGTTTCCTGTTGAAGTGTACCATTCGGTCGAAAGTTGTGCTTTCACGAAAGGCCTCGTTGTCAGGGAAACCTTCGCAGCCTGGGACAAATCAGGATGGGCCACGAAGCATGGGGAACAACTGATCTGCGGTTCGCTTGCGTTGCAGCATCCGGCTAGTCTCCAACGTGCTGTCAGATGCTCATGTTTCAGGTTAGGGTCAATGGCCCAAATTGGGATGCATGCCCAGGAAATTACGAGAAACTGCTTCGCGCTGTACACCAACTGTAACTTCTTAAGGACGTGTGCTAGTTGCGGTTAGGACAGGCATTTTCAGGAAAATAATCAGTGATCTGTCAGGAAATGTAACTGGAAACGTGTGGAGTTTGCGGGCTTTCAGTAAAACAAACAAACATATTCCATATAGGGGAGAGGTCACGTTTTATAGCAGTCGGAGCTGGGTTTTCTAAAACATAATTTGCGTCCTCAACACCGACACACACCCCTGCACAGCATCACATTGCGGCTCGGTGCTTTCAGAAAGGCACGGCTATGCCTGCCACCGCGCCACAGTAGAGCCGGGCACGGCCCAGCAGCAGTAAGAATCATGCACGCGAGCGACAGGACCATCAACATCGACGGTTGAGAGAGGCGAGCAGGGGCAATCTCACGGCCAACCGACCGAACCTCGACATTGTCGTTGCTGCAGGTAATCAGCGAGCATGGAAATTGGGCGACCGACCTGCGCCAAGTACTACTGTGTTGAGGTGTCAACTACCAGGTCTGCGGCAAGTAGGCTAGACCTTGGGATTGCATTCTCATTTTTCCTGGCCGAGGTTGGTGCCTCTCGCACCGCACACAGATTCTGCCGAGTCTCTTCCGTGTAGAGAAGAGAGAGCCGTGCTTGCCTGGAGAGCCGTGCCTGCCGTTATGACATTATAAAGCGCGATACGTTGTTAGAGTCGGTGTGTCTGATCTTGCCTTTAGCGAGCAGCAGAGTTACAGCTGTTCACCCCTTGAGCCATGTGCACCCGCGAGTGTAGTAGGGATACACATTCGTCTACTACTCGAGAGCTTTAGACGGGACGTTATATTCTTATCAATTCGATTCCAACTCGACGTATGCTGCGTTTATGCCGCGTCGCCCTCGTTTAGCAACCAACACCTTCAAGGTTGTCAGACTACCTAGGAAACGTATAGTCGCAGTTCAATTCGATGATGCGTCCGATGAGATTAACTCAGTCCGCCAGTCGCGGATTCTCACGACTGCTAGCCGTCGCCGCGACGGCTCTCGTCTTCGTCGCCCTAGTGGGGGATATGCTCCCGCCGTGCGCGGCGGTCAACGTACAAGCAGGTAGGATGGCTTTTGAGTCGACCCAAAAGTCACCTAGTGGGGCGTATGCTCCCTCCGTGCGCGGCGGTCAACGTACAAGCAGGTACGGTAACGGCTGAGGCCAGGCCTAGGCGCCTCAAAAGTCTTTTTGCCGCGGGGTGCAGTCAACACAGGATTAAGTAAGATAATCGCCTCCCAAGTATAAGCGCCTCGGTCTTCAGCTGAAACCAATCACGGACGTGCGTAACCCACCTAGTGTTAAACGCTTGTAAATATGAGACGCGAGCTTTAAAGCTCCTCAGCCCCGAATCTCAAGCGCCTCCATTCCGAACACAAAGCGTCTCAATTATTGGTCAGAGTTGTCAATCCAAGGAGGGAAGCCAACCGGCAGAGAGCTTCGAAGTGCTTGAGTCCCCGTTCCCCTCCTCCTGTCCTCATCCCTCCCATCGCTCTCAATTTCCCCATCACTCGCATCCCCCCCATCGCTCCCTCCCATCACTCTCATCCCCCCCATCGCTCCCTCCCATTACTCTCATCCCCCCCATCGCTCCCTCCCATTACTCTCATCTCTCCTCAATCCCCCCCTCCATCCCAGCAGCAGGAAAGACCCAACGCGAAGCAGTCAATTCTTCGTGCCGTCAGTGCTGTCGTATCGGGGAGGGGTCAACGGGCTGAGACCCACTAATTCCCTGCTCTCTCCTCCGTGCTGTTATGCAACCCCTCCCTCCATCCTCCCTTCCACCCACACCACTCCTAGCAGCAGGGCGAAGGCCGAACGCGAAGCAGTACATCGTGCATCTGAGGTCCGTGCCGTCAGTGCTGTCGTACCGGGGAGCGATCAACGTTCTGAGACCCACTAACTCCCTGCTCTTCCCTTCCTACTGTTCTCTCCTCCCCCCTCACTCCCTTTCCCCCCACCACCCCACTCCCTCCCTCCTAGCAGCAGGACGAAGGCCGGGGGCGAAGCAGTACATCGTGAATTTGAGGGCCGTGCCGTCAGTGCTGTCGTACCGGGGAGGAATCAGCGGGCTGAGGGCGACAGCTACTGTAGACGATGAGGAGGATGAGTATGACGAGGATGACGGGGAGGAGGGGGGTGATTCACCTGGTGATGGTACTGGTGACACTGGTGGTACTGGTAACAGTGGTGGTAGTGGTGGTAATGGTGGTGCTGGTGGTGCTGGGGGAAACAGCACAGCACCAGGGTCAGCAGCAGCACCAGCGCCAGCAGCAGGAGCAACACCAGCGCCAGCAGCACCAGCAGCAGGATCCGAATCGAATCGAATCTCGGGGCTGGCATCAGAATCAGGAAAGGATTCGTTTGATGCGGATATCCTGTCTGCTGCTGTGGCTGCTGCCGAGGCTGCAGTGGAGATTGGCGGAGTGGTGGGAGCAGCAGGGGGGGCAGGGGAAGCAGGGGTAGCAGGCGTGGCAGGGTTAGCAGCAACAGCAGCAGCTGGTGGGATAGGGGGACGGTTGGGAAAGAAAGTGGGAATCCGCGCAGTGGCGTTTAGAGAGGCAAGGATGGATGATCTGGTGAGGCGGGTGGGTGTGCGCCTGAGGAATTTCCGATCGCGGTCGGCTGGCTTGGGCCGGAGACTGCTGTCTCGCGTTGCTGCTGCTGCAGTGGCCGCTGCAGCTGAAGAGGCAGCAGGAACTCATGCTGACGCTGATACTGATGCTGGTAGTGGTGATAGTGATAGTGATGCAGCCTTGGACGCTTCTGGGTTCCCCTTTTTCAATTCTTCTCACCCTGCGCACGATGCTGCTGCTGCTGCTGCTGCTGCTGCTGCCTTTAGCACCGTTCGTGGCATAAGTTCAGCATCAGCATCCACGTCAGCAGCAGCGGGAGCCACGTCACCCGTGCTGACAGCGCAGCAGCTGAGCGTGAGAGCCGCGCACATCATGCGCACCACGCCGTGGGGCCGCCTCATGCGACCCGACGTGCGGTTACCGCACGTGCAGGCCTTCACGAGCTTCCTGGAAGCTTCTCACCGCAGCCTGCTGCGATCGCTCAACATTCCCGTCTCTTCCATTTTCCACAGGTGAGCTGTGGCGGTGAGAGATTGTAATCCACAGGGCAGTGCGCTGCACATGAGCACCAATCATTTTCCACAGGTGAGCGGCGGCAGTGACAGGAAGTTTTCGTAACACTTTCCTGGAAAGTCACTCAGGAGTTCCGTGGGCAGGGCAGTGCAGTTGGCCTTGGGCCGTATCATGGTTCCCATTCATTGAAGTGCGAGCGACATTAGCCGAGGTTTGAGTGCACTCCCCAGAATCGTCCTCCTGAATCCAAACCTGGGCTGTAGTCTTGAGAAAACCCGAGGTCTCTCAATTCATTTCCGCCTTGCCCTTGCCACCTGTCTCCCCCTCCTCCCCTTCTCCTCCCCCCCAACCCCCCAGCTATTCGTACCTGATGAACAGCTTTGCGGCTCAGCTCACCCCTGCGGAAGCGAAAAGGCTGCGTTTCCACCCCGCGGTGGCAGACGTGGAGCCAGACAGGATAGTGCGCATGACCACCGTGCTCATTCCTGCCTTGGCTCTGCTGCCTGTCTCCCTCGTCTCTCCTTCACCCCCAATCCCCCAGCTACTCGTACCTGATGAACAGCTTTGCAGCACAACTGACTCCTACAGAAGCCAAGAGGCTGCGTTTCCACCCTGCAGTGGCCGATGTGGCCGATGTGGAGGCCGGCTGCTGGCGGGCAGAGCAGTGCGGGGGAGGGCATGATCATCGGGGTTATAGACTCGGGGATCTGGCCCGAACACCCCTCTTTCGCTGACCCGGTGAGTGCTCTGAGTGACTAAGCCGGACAATGCAGTGCGCATGGTGTTTTGAGAATTCTCAAAGACACCTTGCAGAATTCTCAAAAACACCTTTAAGCCGGGAAATGCAGTGCGCATGACCACCGTGCACTCACCCGAGTTTCTCAAGATGGACACGAGCCTGTGGCCGGCTGCTGGCGGGCAGAGCAGTGCGGGGGAGGGCATGATCATCGGGGTTATAGACTCGGGGATCTGGCCCGAACACCCCTCTTTCGCTGACCCGGTGAGTGCTCTGAGTGACTAAGCCGGACAATGCAGTGCGCATGGTGTTTTGAGAATTCTCAAAGACACCTTGCAGAATTCTCAAAAACACCTTTAAGCCGGGAAATGCAGTGCGCATGACCACCGTGCACTCACCCGAGTTTCTCAAGATGGACACGAGCCTGTGGCCGGCTGCTGGCGGGCAGAGCAGTGCGGGGGAGGGCATGATCATCGGGGTTATAGACTCGGGGATCTGGCCCGAACACCCCTCTTTCGCTGACCCGGTGAGTGCTCTGAGTGACTAAGCCGGACAATGCAGTGCGCATGGTGTTTTGAGAATTCTCAAAGACACCTTGCAGAATTCTCAAAAACACCTTTAAGCCGGGAAATGCAGTGCGCATGACCACCGTGCACTCACCCGAGTTTCTCAAGATGGACACGAGCCTGTGGCCGGCTGCTGGCGGGCAGAGCAGTGCGGGGGAGGGCATGATCATCGGGGTTATAGACTCGGGGATCTGGCCCGAACACCCCTCTTTCGCTGACCCGGTGAGTGCTCTGAGTGACTAAGCCGGACAATGCAGTGCGCATGGTGTTTTGAGAATTCTCAAAGACACCTTGCAGAATTCTCAAAAACACCTTTAAGCCGGGAAATGCAGTGCGCATGACCACCGTGCACTCACCCGAGTTTCTCAAGATGGACACGAGCCTGTGGCCGGCTGCTGGCGGGCAGAGCAGTGCGGGGGAGGGCATGATCATCGGGGTTATAGACTCGGGGATCTGGCCCGAACACCCCTCTTTCGCTGACCCGGTGAGTGCTCTGAGTGACTAAGCCGGACAATGCAGTGCGCATGGTGTTTTGAGAATTCTCAAAGACACCTTGCAGAATTCTCAAAAACACCTTTAAGCCGGGAAATGCAGTGCGCATGACCACCGTGCACTCACCCGAGTTTCTCAAGATGGACACGAGCCTGTGGCCGGCTGCTGGCGGGCAGAGCAGTGCGGGGGAGGGCATGATCATCGGGGTTATAGACTCGGGGATCTGGCCCGAACACCCCTCTTTCGCTGACCCGGTGAGTGCTCTGAGTGACTAAGCCGGACAATGCAGTGCGCATGGTGTTTTGAGAATTCTCAAAGACACCTTGCAGAATTCTCAAAAACACCTTTAAGCCGGGAAATGCAGTGCGCATGACCACCGTGCACTCACCCGAGTTTCTCAAGATGGACACGAGCCTGTGGCCGGCTGCTGGCGGGCAGAGCAGTGCGGGGGAGGGCATGATCATCGGGGTTATAGACTCGGGGATCTGGCCCGAACACCCCTCTTTCGCTGACCCGGTGAGTGCTCTGAGTGACTAAGCCGGACAATGCAGTGCGCATGGTGTTTTGAGAATTCTCAAAGACACCTTGCAGAATTCTCAAAAACACCTTTAAGCCGGGAAATGCAGTGCGCATGACCACCGTGCACTCACCCGAGTTTCTCAAGATGGACACGAGCCTGTGGCCGGCTGCTGGCGGGCAGAGCAGTGCGGGGGAGGGCATGATCATCGGGGTTATAGACTCGGGGATCTGGCCCGAACACCCCTCTTTCGCTGACCCGGTGAGTGCTCTGAGTGACTAAGCCGGACAATGCAGTGCGCATGGTGTTTTGAGAATTCTCAAAGACACCTTGCAGAATTCTCAAAAACACCTTTAAGCCGGGAAATGCAGTGCGCATGACCACCGTGCACTCACCCGAGTTTCTCAAGATGGACACGAGCCTGTGGCCGGCTGCTGGCGGGCAGAGCAGTGCGGGGGAGGGCATGATCATCGGGGTTATAGACTCGGGGATCTGGCCCGAACACCCCTCTTTCGCTGACCCGGTGAGTGCTCTGAGTGACTAAGCCGGACAATGCAGTGCGCATGGTGTTTTGAGAATTCTCAAAGACACCTTGCAGAATTCTCAAAAACACCTTTAAGCCGGGAAATGCAGTGCGCATGACCACCGTGCACTCACCCGAGTTTCTCAAGATGGACACGAGCCTGTGGCCGGCTGCTGGCGGGCAGAGCAGTGCGGGGGAGGGCATGATCATCGGGGTTATAGACTCGGGGATCTGGCCCGAACACCCCTCTTTCGCTGACCCGGTGAGTGCTCTGAGTGACTAAGCCGGACAATGCAGTGCGCATGGTGTTTTGAGAATTCTCAAAGACACCTTGCAGAATTCTCAAAAACACCTTTAAGCCGGGAAATGCAGTGCGCATGACCACCGTGCACTCACCCGAGTTTCTCAAGATGGACACGAGCCTGTGGCCGGCTGCTGGCGGGCAGAGCAGTGCGGGGGAGGGCATGATCATCGGGGTTATAGACTCGGGGATCTGGCCCGAACACCCCTCTTTCGCTGACCCGGTGAGTGCTCTGAGTGACTAAGCCGGACAATGCAGTGCGCATGGTGTTTTGAGAATTCTCAAAGACACCTTGCAGAATTCTCAAAAACACCTTTAAGCCGGGAAATGCAGTGCGCATGACCACCGTGCACTCACCCGAGTTTCTCAAGATGGACACGAGCCTGTGGCCGGCTGCTGGCGGGCAGAGCAGTGCGGGGGAGGGCATGATCATCGGGGTTATAGACTCGGGGATCTGGCCCGAACACCCCTCTTTCGCTGACCCGGTGAGTGCTCTGAGTGACTAAGCCGGACAATGCAGTGCGCATGGTGTTTTGAGAATTCTCAAAGACACCTTGCAGAATTCTCAAAAACACCTTTAAGCCGGGAAATGCAGTGCGCATGACCACCGTGCACTCACCCGAGTTTCTCAAGATGGACACGAGCCTGTGGCCGGCTGCTGGCGGGCAGAGCAGTGCGGGGGAGGGCATGATCATCGGGGTTATAGACTCGGGGATCTGGCCCGGACACCCCTCTTTCGCTGACCCGGTGAGTGCTCTGAGTGACTAAGCCGGACAATGCAGTGCGCATGGTGTTTTGAGAATTCTCAAAGACACCTTGCAGAATTCTCAAAAACACCTTTAAGCCGGGAAATGCAGTGCGCATGACCACCGTGCACTCACCCGAGTTTCTCAAGATGGACACGAGCCTGTGGCCGGCTGCTGGCGGGCAGAGCAGTGCGGGGGAGGGCATGATCATCGGGGTTATAGACTCGGGGATCTGGCCCGAACACCCCTCTTTCGCTGACCCGGTGAGTGCTCTGAGTGACTAAGCCGGACAATGCAGTGCGCATGGTGTTTTGAGAATTCTCAAAGACACCTTGCAGAATTCTCAAAAACACCTTTAAGCCGGGAAATGCAGTGCGCATGACCACCGTGCACTCACCCGAGTTTCTCAAGATGGACACGAGCCTGTGGCCGGCTGCTGGCGGGCAGAGCAGTGCGGGGGAGGGCATGATCATCGGGGTTATAGACTCGGGGATCTGGCCCGAACACCCCTCTTTCGCTGACCCGGTGAGTGCTCTGAGTGACTAAGCCGGACAATGCAGTGCGCATGGTGTTTTGAGAATTCTCAAAGACACCTTGCAGAATTCTCAAAAACACCTTTAAGCCGGGAAATGCAGTGCGCATGACCACCGTGCACTCACCCGAGTTTCTCAAGATGGACACGAGCCTGTGGCCGGCTGCTGGCGGGCAGAGCAGTGCGGGGGAGGGCATGATCATCGGGGTTATAGACTCGGGGATCTGGCCCGAACACCCCTCTTTCGCTGACCCGGTGAGTGCTCTGAGTGACTAAGCCGGACAATGCAGTGCGCATGGTGTTTTGAGAATTCTCAAAGACACCTTGCAGAATTCTCAAAAACACCTTTAAGCCGGGAAATGCAGTGCGCATGACCACCGTGCACTCACCCGAGTTTCTCAAGATGGACACGAGCCTGTGGCCGGCTGCTGGCGGGCAGAGCAGTGCGGGGGAGGGCATGATCATCGGGGTTATAGACTCGGGGATCTGGCCCGAACACCCCTCTTTCGCTGACCCGGTGAGTGCTCTGAGTGACTAAGCCGGACAATGCAGTGCGCATGGTGTTTTGAGAATTCTCAAAGACACCTTGCAGAATTCTCAAAAACACCTTTAAGCCGGGAAATGCAGTGCGCATGACCACCGTGCACTCACCCGAGTTTCTCAAGATGGACACGAGCCTGTGGCCGGCTGCTGGCGGGCAGAGCAGTGCGGGGGAGGGCATGATCATCGGGGTTATAGACTCGGGGATCTGGCCCGGACACCCCTCTTTCGCTGACCCGGTGAGTGCTCTGAGTGACTAAGCCGGACAATGCAGTGCGCATGGTGTTTTGAGAATTCTCAAAGACACCTTGCAGAATTCTCAAAAACACCTTTAAGCCGGGAAATGCAGTGCGCATGACCACCGTGCACTCACCCGAGTTTCTCAAGATGGACACGAGCCTGTGGCCGGCTGCTGGCGGGCAGAGCAGTGCGGGGGAGGGCATGATCATCGGGGTTATAGACTCGGGGATCTGGCCCGAACACCCCTCTTTCGCTGACCCGGTGAGTGCTCTGAGTGACTAAGCCGGACAATGCAGTGCGCATGGTGTTTTGAGAATTCTCAAAGACACCTTGCAGAATTCTCAAAAACACCTTTAAGCCGGGAAATGCAGTGCGCATGACCACCGTGCACTCACCCGAGTTTCTCAAGATGGACACGAGCCTGTGGCCGGCTGCTGGCGGGCAGAGCAGTGCGGGGGAGGGCATGATCATCGGGGTTATAGACTCGGGGATCTGGCCCGAACACCCCTCTTTCGCTGACCCGGTGAGTGCTCTGAGTGACTAAG